CGATATTGCCAGACTTCTTTTGCAGCATGGTGCTTTGGTAAATCTTCGCGACTGTGGCTTTACAGCCCTGCACCCAGATTGTCAAAAGAGTTTCGCACACGTTGCCGAAACCCTACTTCGTGTGAGTCGAGCAAATCCCCAAATTAAATGTCCGTTTTCCGGGAACACGGCGTTGCACGAGGCGGCCATGCTTGGGCACGCAGACTGTGTAAATTGTCTACTCCGTTTTCACGCCGCACCCTAGGCACGAAACGCCGAAGCCGAAATGCCATTCGAATTGGCCCTTCGCTATGGGTTCGCTGATCTGGCCGCTGCACTGGCCGGTTACAAACCTACACAACCGCTGACCACTCAGACGGATTGGTATCATCCGAATTTGTCCAAATTAGACACGGATAGATTTTTCACCAGTTGCGCGGCCACCAAAGATGGGGCGTTTCTAATCCGGCGTTTGTCACAATCTGAACGAAAATTTGTCCTCGTGCTCTACTATCAACGGCAAACATTGAAATATCAAATCGAAGTGATTGATTTCTCATTTCACATGGATACAAAAGAGGCCTATTTCATCGACAAGGGTGCATTGCACTTGTCCCTGGAACACCTAGTGGAACACTACAGTCGATTTGCTGACGGTATTCCCGTTCGCCTACACTTTGCTGTTTCTCCCGCTGGTATGGTTTTAAACATTGAACAACTTGTCCCATCCGGACTGGAAAAACGTGGTAAAGAATTGAAAAAATCGAACAAAGTGGGGCCGAGGCATGGGCTTTGCGTACCATTACAATCGGTTTGCATGGTGGTCGTATGGGTGCACCCCTGGCAATGCCCGGTTCCAAAAATGCGAGTGCAACTCAGGATTCAGGAAAATATTCTCAGGATGAAACTTACGGTTCACCCAACGCGGGCTCCGTTCGATCACCCGGTGGTGTTAATGTAGGCGGACTACTTCCCGCCGCAGCTGGACTGCAGATGACAGGAACCGGAGGCACTCGTGTCGGTTCCGGTGCTGGTGAGTTGTGACTAGTCCCGAGTGATGCTGTGATTCTGTTGTATCGACTTGGGGAGGGGAATTCGGGGAAGTTTACCAGGGACGGTTGCATCTGGAAAATGATACAACCCAAGAAGTGGCCTTAAAAGTTCTTGTACAGCCCTCGCAACGATTGGACTTTTTGAAAGGGGCCACTATTATGATGCAGCTTTCACATCCGCA